TGTGAAAGCCCACACACTGGTTCTTTCCTTTCTGGAAGAGAAAACCTGAATTCGAACCCTGTACCACCCACAGCCATGGCAGTGCCCAGATATATGGTGTGGGAGAGATGAGCATATGCCAGAGGGTACACCAGTTTGGGACTAGCCCTGGGACTGGAGAAAGGGCATGATCACTTTCCCCTTCTTTCCTGGATCACCCCTGTACATACAGGTATACTGTGATTTCCCCCAACTCAACAACTAACACACACATCTCTTCCTACATCACACTCCCTTCCAGTGACTGCCCTCATGCTCTACTCTCCTTTACACTAAAACTCTAAAGATGGTACCTGCAGTCCCCTTGTCCTCTTCTCCCATTCTCTCACTTTTTATACTTTTTATTATGAACATTTCACACATACCACACAATAGGAAGGCTGGCACAGAGAGCACCCCTCCCCACTGCTCAGTTTGCCCAGACCATGCAGAAGCCACCCCAGACATCACCCATTCCCTCCTGCCTCAGCCAGGCAGGCTGCTGCACTCCCACCCAGAACAGCTCGTGCCAAGGTCACCAACAACCTCCAGGTTACACCCCGAGGTCACTGCTGGCCCTTCTCCCTGAGCCTCTCTACGGTGTACAATAGCTCACTCTCTCCTTGGGAACACTTGTTTCTCACTTGATTTCCAAGACACCACGCTGCCACGCTTTTCTCACTCACAGTCACATCTGTAGGTCCCTCCTCATCGCCCCGACTTCTCCATGTTAAGGTGCCAGTGGTTTCCTTCTCCAGCCCCTGCTTACCCAGAAAGTGACACTCCCCCCCTAGCGGATGTCGCCCAGTCTCCTGGCTTCATGTCCCATAAACTCCCACATTTATATTCCAGCTGGGCCGTCTCCCTGAACTTGATGTTTCCATGTAGATTATTAATAAGCATCTAAAACTTAATATGAAGCCAGAGTGAATTGACCTCACCCTCAACCTCTGCCTAGACCCCGTCCCTCTCATAGTCTTCCATCTGTCTAATGCCTCAGGCGAAAACCATTTTGTGTTTCCTGTGGCCCAGAGTGAAAACCAGAGCCACACACTGACCTCAGCCTCCTGCTCTCTCAGCTCCGTGGCTCCCGTCTCGCAGCTGTCCCCACGCAAGCCAGGTGGGCCCTGCATCCCTGCTCCCTCGGCCTGGGAGACCCTTCCCAGAAATCCAGCTGACTCCTTCCTTCACCACCTTTGACTCTGCTCAAATGTCACCTTTTCCTAAAATCTGGATGCTTTTTTTATAAGCTGCAAACCCTCCCTCCCTCTCCCCGGCTCAGTTTGCTCCACAGTTCTCACCTCCACCCCAACTTACTTCTTGCTGGACTTCTATGACCTCCTACTGTCTGCTGTGTCCTCAGCGCCTGGAACAGTGGCTGGCACAGAGCAGCTGCTCATGGGAAACGAATGCCTACATGGGCCAATGTGTGCCTCCTACAAAGGGGCAGCCGCTTTGGGGCTCCTGCCTTTTACAAAGGCTTTGGGATCCCCTTGTCCCTCTCTCTCAAACATAGACACATCCCCTCTTTCTCATAGTTAGAAACACCCCCTCTCCCTGGGCCCTGGGATGGTGGAAAGGACCAGTGAACAGGGAATAATGCCGGAAGACGAGCGGAACCCAGCACGTCACAGCCACTGCAAGCTGCCTGGGCAGAGGGCAGTTGCAGTGAGCATGTGCGTGCTTGCTGCCACTGCTCGGGCCCCATGGGACCTGAGTCCTGGGATGCACTAGGGTGTGGTCACTGGGGTTAGCATTATTGATGTTGAGGGGCTTCTGGAAGGAGGCTTCTGGCTCTTTCTACCAGACCCAAGGAAAAGTACCACCTGCCTGAAAGATTTAACCACACTGCCTAGTAGACTAGGCCTCTGCAGTGTAGACAGACCCAGAGAGACTATTACAGGGGCATGTGACTCCTTTCTGAGAGGAGAGGCCCCTCTGATGGGGTGTTGGTGCTCTGCTTCTTGGTCTGCCTCCTTTCCTCACTTCCTGCCTTGCAAAATGCACCTCTGATGAAGACAGCCATTGGTCACTGCGCACTCTCCAACGTGTGGTTCCCTGAGCCACAGCCCAGGCTCCGCCTCGGCTCCTCCCACTGTCTGGAGGCAGGACCCCAGGGGCAGGGACACAGTCTCCGAATGTGGAAGGGAACAGCACTAACTGCTGGATGCTGGCCTGGCCAGGGGACTCGCCCGCTCGGGTTTCAGTTTTTCACCTGGAACACAGGGATGACGACAGTTCTCTAAGGTTGGAGGAGTCCTAACTGAAGCTGGAGCACATGACTGTCTCCGTAATGCCTCTGGGGCCCGTGTGATGGAACACGGGAGCCGTGTCATCCCAGCTCCCAATGAAGGCCACCGATGTCATCTAGAACAGGGCTCACCCATGCTTGGTCCTCAGGAAATCAATCCCATTCGAAATGCATGTTGAAGTCTGTGATGTGGGTTGGTGGGGCAATGGTATCAACTTCAAAAGCGCGTGCTGCTATCCCGTTAGTTCCGAGAGTTTACAAGTTTACACAATGGCCATATGTCACCAGAAGGTCTTAGGCAAATGTAGGAAAGGAAGAAAAAAAAGGAATAAAGGAAGAGGGACCAGAAAAGGCAGTGACTGGGACTGAGAGGAAAGAATAAGGAAAGGAAGAAACGGAATGGAAGAGAATTAGACTCCCACGATGGAGACAGGTGCCACGTGCCAGAACTCTGAGTGGTCCCTCCCCGGGGGTGTTTCCATGGGGTGGGAGTGCTTCCAGGTGCCACTCAGAGTCACACTTGGTTTGCTGTGAATGAAGGGAGAATGCAGCTTGGGCCTTTTTCGGAGATCTAGGATGCATGGGGACTAAGGAGACCCTGACATTAGAAGAGCATCCTCATTTCCAAAGCAGCCCCCACTGCCCCCTGGACACCACCCCCGCCTCTTTGCTCATGAAACATTGGTTACTATCTAAATAGGAAAAGACATGGAAGGCACATTCCTAGCAAAAGGAGGTTTTAGGGGCCTTTGGGTGGCAGAGAATGGAGAAGACTTGGCAGAGGTAATGGACAGGTCATGGACACAGGGAGTTCAGGCCATGCATGCACAGGAGGGCAGGGGGAGGCCAAAGTAAGATGGGGAGATAATGAGCAGTAGCCAAAGCAAAGCCTCCACACAGGGCAGGGTAAGCCCCCTGGATGTCCCAGGTGACAGTGACCTCAAGGACAGGTAGCCCGTGGAGAGTGAGCTTTATCTTGCTCTGACTGAGGTTCAGTTAATTTGAAAGCAGGCCCATGTCCACAGCCTGATCAATGCATGATCCGCTCCCCTGTGGCTCTGGTCCCATCTCCTCCTCTCGGCCTCTTGGACCCGCTGCTCACCCTGGCCTCCCTCCCACTTCCTGACGCCACGACAAAGCTTCTACCTCAAGGCCTCCCTGCTGCCTCCGCCTGGGGTGCTGCTCTCTGCTCCATCACTATCACATCCCAGAGGCCTTTGCTGACCGCCGTGGCTTCCTGCCTCACAGCCCCCTGCCTCCCTGCACTGGTCATCAAGAACTAATTCTGTCTGCTTCCCCCAATGGATGATAAGCTCCATAAGAACAGATTCTGTTTTGTTTACTTCTGAAGATGGCTTAGCACAGGCAAGCCTCATGAAATAGTTGTTGAACAAATGTGTGAACTCAAAGCCGTAAGTATATATGAATTCTATTGATTGATTGGTGTTCCAGGGTGGACTGCCTCTACAAGGAGTAGGAGGAGGGGTGGGAAACCATTGCAGATCAGAAACCCCCACTGCAACCTCATGAGACCCCAAGGCAGGAGCACCGGGCTCAGCTGCTCCCAAATCCCTGAACCAAAGAAACTGTGTGCACTGATAAATGTTTGTTGTTGTTTTCAAACGCTACCGGTTGGAGTGATTGGTTTCGCAGTGGCAGGTAATCGTCACAAAGGGGATGGCATGGGGGCGGGCCAGCCCAGGTCAGAGTTGATATAAGACGACCAGGATTGTGTCTCTCCCTGGTTAACTGTGCAGCCGCTTTCCGGAGCCAGCTGGTCCCAATTGGATTCTGCGACTCTTATTAGCCACAAATGCCACCCGTATCCTCAATAAACTTTATTTAGACACAAATAGACACAACAGGAAATACATACACAGATACAGATTATTTTCTCTACAGGATGAACAGACATCACAAAGGGGATTTAAAAAGTGGGTGCATGGAATGTAAGAAAATATTGCACAGTCCTGGTTCACTCACACTTAACACAGACACATATTTCAGAGGGAGACAGGGATATGCCGTCCCTACGGGAAGCTCAGTGGGTCTGTAACAGTGCACAGGTGTTGGGAAGGTACTCTTGAAGTGACAGAATGCTCACAACACTAGCAGGACTCTGTTTAAATGAAAGACAGAATCGAGGAGCCGGACCCCGCACAGATGCTCTGCAAGCTGCCAGCGAGGTCCTAAAGCAGCTTGGCACAAAGGCTACATGAGCTGTCATCTTGCGGCTTGAAGGTCTGTGGAACCTCCACCGTGGTGTGTGCGCGCCATAGAGAGTTTACAGAGACACACGGAGGACGTGGCGACTCGACATGCATGCTGGCTTCGAAACCCACGGGACAGAGCATTGACAACAGGTTATAAAATGTGGCTTTGGAACAAAGAAAGGAATAATAGCCAAGAAGACAACGAATGCTTTGCAAATGCTGCCACATCCACGGCAGTGTTTCCCACCGCGCCGCCGGGGGTCCCCGACAGGGAGCCTTCGGCCTCTGTGTCCCGCTCCACGCCACCGGGGAGGGGGTGGATGTCTCTTGCAAGTCTATGATTGCCCTCTAAGGCCACTGCTGTCAGAGCCACGCCTGTCCCCAGAACAAGCTGCCATGGAACCACCCCACACGCTCCTGTCCCAACAGGCCTCCGGCCTCCACACCGTCTTTGCATTTCAGACCGGGGGTCCCTAGGCAACCTCTGTTATTTTAGTAAAAAATGGTTTCCACTGTACCCTTGCTGTGTCCTCTTCCTAACGTGACAAATCCGGATGAGATGAAGTTATGGAGATCAGCTCCTCCACTTCGGTAAGCATCCTTCCCATAATGTCCTGCAAGAAGACGGGGCAGAATTACCTGCGTGCGCATCCATGACACCACAAGGACCAGCTCCCTGGCAGCAGCGCTGCGCTGGGCTTCCAGCCAGCGGCCAAGACAGAGGTAGAAGCAGTCAAGAAACAATATGTACATATACGTTCACAAATGTATATGTAAATATATAATATATAATAAAAATATATAATATATTTCATCACATAAATATATAGTAATATATCATAAATATACATATATTTAGATATAGTCAGTATATATTACTGTGCATCAAAGAGTGCATATATACATACATAGATATGCATATATATATATATATATATATATATATATATATACTGCAATAAAGAAAAACATTCTGGGAAGGTCACACTTCAAGTTGAAAGCAGAGTGGGTAGAGTAACACGTGGCTTGGTTTTGGCATTTCTGCCTGAGCACACCAGACATCGGTCTATTTGTTCTACCATCCTCTCCTATGCCTCGGCTTTCTTCCTTCTCTTTCTTGCCTTATTCATTTGTTTTCTTTCTTCCGAAAGCACAGAGGCAGGGGTGTGGTCGGGATGGCTCTATGTACTTGTGTGTTTATGTGTCATAGCACATCCTATGGAACCACACAGCCTGGAGCTTAGGAGAAACCAGCATCACTGAAGCTGGTGAGTAGAATGGGTCCTGAAACATTGGAGAGAGCTCTGTGGTGGCCTGGCCTGAATTTCTGCAACAAGATCTATCCCTCGCAGCCTCGTGCATCTGCCTACCTGGGTGGTATGAGGAAAGACTAAGGCAGGCTAGGATGCTGGAAGAAGAAATTAAAAGAGCAGGAGAATTAATGTTCTGCTCTGACATTCGCAATCCGCTTAAAATGCAGACACTGTGAAGAAAGACAGGACACCCTGAATGCCATCCTAGGTACATACTTATTAAGATAGAAAAGAGCCACATCTTTGTCATGTTCCCTCAAGAGCATATTGAAAACTGTACTTACAATCCTAACAACGTGCAGAGCTACCCAAGATGTGAAGTTAAGTTAAAAGATGGACAGAAATGCTATTATTAAATACTAGAGGCCCAGTGCATGAAATTTGTGCATAGGTAAGGTCCCCAGTGGCTGCCAGCTGCCAGCCAGGGCCTCCCTTCCCGCAGTTGGTGGCCGGCCCCCTCCCCTGGTCGAAATCCTGGTTGAACTCCTGGTTGAGGGAACACTTTGCATATTAGGCTTTTGTTATATAGGATAATCACAAAGCTGCAGAAAATTCCCACCAATGCATTGAAAAGAAAAAAAAAATGAAAGAAAGTTCACCTGGTACTGACAACTGTCTTCAGGTAGTTAGAACACGACTTCTCTCCTTTCAATGTTTCTATATTTCCCAAGGTTTATTTCTAATAGAAAAATATGTGACTAGTGTAAAATCAACCTAAACCATACTTTTTCTTAGCAGAGCACCTTGTGCATTAGCAGATCTCAAACTTGGGTGCAGGTCAGAGTCATCTGGAAGTTTTTAAAAACATGGCTGTCTAGGCACTACTCCGGGGTTCTGATTCATTTGGTGGGGCCTGAGCTCGGGGAAGCGTATTTTTGAGAAGCTCTCTAAGTGGCTGTCATGTGCTACGGGGAAGGAGAACGCTTCCTGGAGCTCATGGAGACATGGTCTAAGTGTGTTTACTCACTAGGGCTCAAGGACCATCTGCTGGGACCCTGGTGGGTGCAGGAACCACTCACTATGTAAGTCCCCAGCTCCTAATGCTCCCTCGCCCTTCCTTCCCCCACATCAGCCATTCTCAAACCTGAGTCTGGATCAGAAAAACCAGGAGGGCATGTTCAAACAGACTACTGGTCCTCAGCCAGAGATTCCAGTTAGTAACATCTGGGATGGGGCGCAAGATCCTGCCTTTCTGTCAAGTTGCCAGGGGCTGCTGGGCTGCTGGGCCCAGGGACCAACTCTGGGAACCATGGTCCCAGCACGTCAGGAGCATAAGAAAACAGTACTGCTGTTTCCTTCAGCCCCTCCACTCTGAATAAGTATCTCATTCCTCAGGGCACACAGCTTTCTACGAGGAACTTCTCTTGCTATAAAATACTGGGGTTGCAGCCCAGAATTTTATAGAAGAGAAGAATTATTGGAGCTGAACTAACAGGCTTCTGCCCGGATCCCAAGCCATCTCAGCCCCAGAAACCAGATTTTAGTACTTAGAGAAACTCATCGTCATCAAGGAATGAAGGAGAAAGGCAGAGGCTGTGGGAAGGGGTGTGCTTCAAGTCTCTGGGACAGAGGGACCCTTGTCCTGTAATGCAATCACTTTCTCTCCATCCCATCTCCTGACAACGGAAGAGTAAGGAAAGGAAGTAATAAATCAGAACCCTCATAAATTTGGATCTCATTAATTCAGGACCTGTGGTACACCCTGCAAAATCTGGGCTGGTTTATTTTTGTGCTCCTTATAAATAAAAATTTTGATAAACAAATCAATATGGAGGAAGCTGGGGACATAAAATGGTGCCTGTGCTACTTACAATTATCTTTATCTGTCAGCTGGAAGAAGCGCCCTTGGGACGTTGCCCTAGTGCTTTAGGGCTGTGCTGTCAGAAAGGAAACTGACATTTCCTGACCACCTACTATGTGCCAGGCAGAGGGACAGCTGGAAATAGAGCTTAATTTTTTTGCACAATAATAATGAACACATTGTAGCATGATACAATTCATAAAGATTCTTCACATATGGTATTTATTTAACACTTGTATCATTACTGCATGGTAAGTTGTCTATTATGGTTTATTTCCCCATTTTATTGATGGAAAAACCTGAGGTCAAAGTCCGTAATCTTTCCACAACTTGTACCCTTGCAACCTCACCCTGGGACCTGCTGTGTGCCATGGTGACAGATCTCAGCTGGGACCCAGTGGGCACACTGAGCCAGAGATCCTCCAGCGAAGTTGGAGCTCAGAAGTGTTGAGCTTCAAGGACTGAGATTTTGAATTGAGAAAGGGAAGGCTATACTGAGGAGCCAGGATCAAGAGCCTTGGACAGGAATAAAGAATTTATGGTCAGCCGAAACCGGCTTGGCTCAGTGGTAGAGCGTCTGCCTGTGGACTGAAAGGTCCCAGGTTCGATTCAGGTCAAGGGCATGTACCTTGGTTGCAGGCACATCCCCAGTAGGGGGTGTGCAAGAGGCAGCTGATTGATGATTCTTTCTCATCGATGTTTCTAACTCTCTATTCCTCTCTCTTCCTATCTGTAAAAAATCAATAATATATATATATATATATATATATATATATATATATATATATATTTTTTTTTTTAAGTGGTTGAAATAAAAAAAAAACAAAGAATTTATGGTCAAAGAAGTTTGGAAATCACAGAGTTAAATGAAAAGTAACCATGGAAACCATATTCAGGGGCCTGCCCGTGAGCACCCCACTCTCCAGGGAGCCTTCAGACTTTTCAAAGTCGTCTCTGGGACACTTTTGAGGAGGGCACAGTGGCAGTACCTGCTTTTGCTCAAGCCAGGCTCCTCAGATGTGAACACATCAGACCTACCTGGATGGCCCACAGATTGCCGGGGCCCAGACCCAGAAGTCCTCCTGTAGTAGGTCAGAGGTGAGGCCCGATCACGTGCATTTCTAGCAAGTTCTCGGGTGATGTTACTGATTACCCAGGACCGGGAACCACACTTTATGAATATTGTGTTAGAGAGAACTAGCGACAGGTCATGCCCCAGCTGGATACAGGAAGTCGAAGTCCAGAAGACTTATGACTTCCGTGTCCTCCAAAGAGCTGGTTTAGCCTGAGCAAGGGCAGTGTGAGGAGAAGAATGGCTGGCAAAAGTGGAGCCTACACAGTGGACAGTCAGAGAGTGGGGAGCCAGCCCCTTGTCTGACCTGGTGATACATTGAGTTCATCAGATGATGTACGAATGGGGATCACAGACTCCCTTAGCCACAACACAAACTACTACATCATTCTCCATCTGGAAGTCCGGAGGCAGGAGGCTAAGGGAGGGCAGACACTGCCCAAAGTGCATTTGCAGAGAAATGGCCATATAACCAGCAGGGCTCCAGGGGGACATATGCAAGAGCTCTGTGGGCACCTGTGTGTGGAGTGTGGGCACCCCTGCACTGAGTGAGAGCACACCATGTCACATCAGAGGCAAGGACACAGGCCTGACCAGTTACAAGGGTGGCCTCCGGCTGCACAGCATGCCCACCACCGCCTGGAAGGAACTGTACCATATGGCACAGCCGCCAGTCTGCTGCTCCCCCTCACCATCCCTATCCTGGGGAGTCACAGCACAGCTGCCTGCAGGAGACAGGTGAGAGCTAAAGAGAAGTCTGAGGCTTGTTCTGGAAGATGCTGGCGGCTCTGATGGCAAGGCAGCCCTGAGTGAGGAGGGGGAACATTTCTGTGTAAAAGAGATTTGCTACAAGAAACAGGAGGGAAAATTAGGTAATATCTGAACCGTGATGTCAATAAGACTTAAGAGAACATTGAGCCAAAACTGGTTTGGCTCAGTGGTAGAGCATCTGTCTGAGGACTAAAAGGTCCCAGGTTCGATTCCGGTCGGGGCCATGTATGTTGGTTGCAGGCACATCCGCGGTGGGGGGTGTGCAGGAGGCAGGTAGTCGATGTTTCTCTCTCATTGACGTTTCTAGCTCTCTATCTTTTCTCCCTTCCTCTCTGTAACAAATCAATAAAATATATTTTTTTAAAAAGAGAACGTTGCATCTGTGAAATTACATCAACAGCCACAGAGAGAAGCAGACTGATCAGAAAAGTTCAGCTCAGCTACACTATGGACAACAGAGGGGATACTGAAGGAAACTGGTGGAGAAAACCTGAATAAGAGAGGTGGATGAAGGACAGAGAGACAGAAACAAGGGGAGAAAAGAAAGGACAGGACAACTCCAGTAGCTAATATTTCTTTTCTTTAAAAAAAAAATCTCTCTCTCTCTCTCTCTCTCTCTCTCTCTCTCTCTCTCTCTCTCTCTCTCTCTCTCAGTGT